GTTTCACTTGAATTAACTAATTTTTGAGCAAAATTAAACCAAGAAACTAAAAAATTTGGTCGAAAATCCTATTAATCTCAGGTTTTCAAAAAATTTTGCTGAAATAAATTAAAAATTCAACAAATTGAGTCTAAAAATCATTTCAAAATTTGTCGACAATTTTGGCAGATTTTTCAGCTAAAAACGCAAAATTTTGTTAAAAACAAGCTAAAAAAACAACAAAATAGATCAATAACGTCATACTTTTTGCCCTTTTTGAATGTTTGAGCACATTTTTAAAGTAAAGATATTTTTTTTATAAATTCTCTTTAAGCAAGCTAAAAAATTACAAAATTAAATCAAAATTGATATCATTTTTTGTTTGTTTGGCCCAAATTACTTTGTTTTTGAATCAGAAGCTTATTTATTTTGCAAAATCTTATCTAAACACAATAAAAAATTACAAAAATAATAAAATTTATTTTGTTTATCTAATAGGATTCAAATAATTCTTAAAAATTTATTACACAAAAACTAAGGCAGCTGGAACAAATTTTTTCTTACTTCTGCAAAGAAGAAAGTACAGAAGCTAAAACTGTTGCAATTTTTTAGTGTTTTGCATTTGTAAAGATTATTAAATTAAGAAGTTTGTTAAAAGTTAAATAACTTAAAAAAATTTAAAAAAAACCCTATTTTTTATTTTTGCATGTAATAGATTGATAAATTATCTATCTAAAAAAGTAAGCTTTTAATGTCTAGAATTGATAAATGAATAGATATTTAACATTTAAAGGTCACTAATGGACTTTTTCATCTCGCTGAGACACCCTGTATAAATTTTTATTATTTTTCTTTTGATAGAAAACATACCTGCGACTTGTTATTACACTTTTCAACTGCGATATTCTTACCCGAGAGTTCGTTTTAAATACAGTGTGTTTGTAAATCGTAATCTTTTAGTACACAGAACGTCATAAAATTAATCTTTTTCGCGGTATAGGAAGAATGATAATTTTAATACGTTTATTTGGGTTATATTACAAGTTTCTTGAAACGAACAATGCAATTATATAACCAAAATTTATTTTTTTTAATAAAGTCAAAACTCTCTTAATCGCACTAGGACTTAAAAGTGAAACTAAGCAAATATAAATATTTTTCCTGCGTCGGTGCTTTGTCCTAATAAAAAACAAATTAATTTATTGTCTGATTAGTTTTATTGTGATTTGATTACTTTAATTAGTCAGAATTAGAAAATTCTAGAAATATTTTTTGTGTTCTTTGTTCTTGGTTTTGACAACCTTTTTCCCACCCTAACGAGTCGGCTGAGAAAATTTGAATAGTTGCTATGGAAATGTATGTGTAACTATGGTAATAAAAAATTGTCATAGCAACCAATGTCATAAGCCCACCAGTGGCGGGTAAATTATTTCCACTATTTTTCATTCAAAAGTTTATGTAATATTTGTTTTGTTATTAAATTAAAATCATTTATTTAAATAAAATTTTGTTATTAATGCTTAAATAAATGTGTTTCTAAATTTTATTATGAAAATCATAATAAACAAGCTAAAAAATTACAAAATTTCTTTGGTTTTAAACCAGAGACCCATTTATTTATTAAATAACAAAAATAAATTGTACTTGATGTTGTTTTTTTTGTTTCACTTGATTTAACTAATTTTTGAGCAAAATTAAGATAAAAATGAACCGAGAAACTACAAAATTTGGTCAAAAATGATATTAAAAAAGTTTTTGTGCCAAAATCTCAGATTTTTCGAAAATTTTTTATAAAAAAATTAAAAAATCGACAAAAATATATTATTTTGAAATTTGTCGACAATTTTAGCACATTTTTCAGCTAGAAACGCAACTACTTTGCAAAATTTTGTTAAAAAATAATGCAAAAATCAACAAAATAAGGCAAAAACGTCGTAATTTTTGTCTTTTTTGAATGTTTGAGCAGATTTTTAAAATTAAAATTAATTTTTATTTTTAAATTCTCTTTAAGCAATCTAAAAAATTACAAAATTAAATCAAATTTGTTTAGCCCGAATTTCTTCGTTTTTGAACCAGAAGCTTATTTATTTTGCAAAATCTTATCTAAACACGCCAAGAAATTACAAAAATAAATGTTTATCTCATTTTTTTGAGCAAAAATAATCCAAGAAACGACAAAATTTGGTCAAAAACATGTTTTTGTATTAAAATCTCATATTTTTCGCAAGATTTTACTAAGACAAAGCAAAAAATTAGCAAGTTAAGTCAAAAATTAAATTATTTCAGAATTGATCAAACGTTTCAGCACGTTTTTCAGCTAGAAACACAATTATTTCGCTAAATTTTGTAATTAATGGTTAAATAAATGTGTTTCTAAAATTTATTTTAAAAGTCATAATAATCAAAAGTCGTTTTTGCTTCAGCAGTTATTTTTGAAACACTCTATTTAGTTAAATCTATTTGTTACTTATGTTTTGTAATTTTGTTTGAATTATTTTGAAGACATTTTCTATTGTTTTATTAATTTTTTTGTAATCACAATTTTGTCAATAATGTTTTAAAAATTTTTGTTTGAATATTTCAAATTTGATAATAATACTCTTTTTTCCACCCTAACGAGTCGGCTGAGAAATTGATACGTGTAAATTTAAATAGTTGCTATGGAAATGTATGTGTAACTATGGTAATAAGAAATTCTCATAGCAACAATGTTACAAGCCCACCAGTGGCGGGTAATTTTTTCCACTACATGTTTTATTTAAAGTTTATGTAATTTTTTTATTGTTATTTTTTGACTTATAATTTTTGACAAATCAATTAAATTCATTTTTTTAATTACACTTTTTTATTGATGTTTAAATTAATATGTTTAAATTTTATTTTGAAAATCTTTTTCCAACCCAAACAAGTTGGCTGAGAAGCAAAAAAGCACGAATAAGCTAGAATCGTTGCTATAAAAATGTAAATATAACAATGTTAACAAAAAATTGTTATAACATTTTCACCAGTGGCGGGTTAATTTTTCCAAGACATTTTAAAAATAATAATTGTAATTTTTGGTCAAATTTAAAGTCATTTTTGCTTATTTTTGAGACACTTTTATATAGTTATATTAATTTGTTGTTTATTATTTTGTTCGAATTATTTTAAGAACTTATTAATTATTATAATAATTATTATATTAATTTTATTTTTTATTTTTATTATAATATTAGTTATATTATAATTAATTATTATTATGCAATCCCAATTTTGTCAATATTGTTTAAAAAAATATGTGTTTAAATTTTTTAAATTTGAATTTAATTCTCTTCCTTCCAGGTATATCAATTTTTTATGTATATTTTTTGTACGATATTTAGTTTAAATTATTTATTTATTGTTTTATATATTTTTTTACAATCACAACTTTGTTAATTATGTTTTATATATTTTTTTATTTTTTATAAAATCCCTTTTTCCACCCAAACGAGTCGACTGAGAAGTAACTCCGAGTAAGTTAGAAAAATTCCTTAAAAAATATAGCAACATGAGGCGTAGCTATGGCAACAAAGAATTGTCATAGTAACAATTCAAAATTCCGACCAGTGGCGGGTAAAAATTTTTTACTAAAAATAAATTTTCAATTTTTTTTACACAATATTACGAGTTAAATTGATTTTTTTTTAATAAAGTTTGTAGTATTTTTTATTTACTAAAAATATTAAATATTTTATAAACTTAAATACTAATTTTTGTAAAATAATTTGGAAAATGGTGGAGGCGCCGGGTGATAATAATTACATTTTTTATTAAAAAATAATTTATTTTCTTATAAAAAAATAATAAAAAAAAATAAATTGTCTCATTTTACGTTATTAAATTATTCTTTCATCTGCAAATAATACGAAAGCAATCCTAAGGCGTCTATTATTGTCGCCGCTGACACAGCGACAACAAAATGCTTTTATAATAAAATATAATTAAAATAAAACAAAAAAAAAAACAAGTTGAAAAAAAAGGAAGAAAATGACAATTTCGATAAAATTTCCTTGCGCCTATCGAAACTTATCAATGTCCTGGCGCGTGTTGGCAAAATCGATGCACGTGACGTCAAATGCGATGCGCGTCGCGGGCGTCGCGAGCGTCCCCGCCAGTCGAGACCCAGCATCGACGATGCCTCTACCTCTGGGGCTCTTTGTCCTGCTTTTTGTCGCGATTTTCGGTCTTTGCAGCGGTGCCGACCTCTTCTCCAACTCCTTCCTCGTCAGGTTTCGACGCGATGTCGACGCCGAGGAGGCCCACACACTCGCCTCCAGGACCGGATTCGTCAACATGGGCCCGGTGAGTACAACAGCTGGTGCCGAAAAAATCCAGTCGCCTTTGGAGTTTGTATGGTGGGTTGTATAGCGATGACGTTACTTGTGAAGTATAGTGTACTCGAGGTAATCGAAAATGCATGATTAATGTGCGATTTCAAACAACCGCAATTTGCGTTAAAATATTAATAGAGATGTGGTTTGTTCATTTACTCACCACACAAATGTATTGATTAAAGAGGACACTGATAATTACTAATAAATAGAGAATTTGAGTGAGGAATCCGACGGAAAACAAATTGGTGGTTTTTTTTGGTTTAAAACAATAAACACCCTGTATATATAATTATAAGGCGAAAATCAAAAAAATAAATCTGAATTTTTTTTTGAAAAAATGAAAAAATTAAACACCTTGTATAATAAAGAATAAAGAATAAAGAAAAATAAAGAAAGTTTAGTCCTATAATAATAAAACACACTGTATGTTTAAATTAAGAAAAAATATGTATCAAAATATGTACTTTTTTGAGAAAAATTTACAACTTGGCAACGTCGTCACCCTAAGTCAAAAGACAAAACATTAATTTAGTTTTTATTAAAAATGTTAAAAAACAAATTTAGCTCTAAAATAATAAAAGGCTCTGAATAATTAAAAAAAATAAAACATGTAAAAATCAGTAAATCAACGATGTTAAAATTGCAAAAATGAAACACCTTGTACACGATAATAAAGAATAATTTTAATAAAAGTAGTAGAAAAACACGTTAAAACATGTGTTTTCCGATTTTTTAAAAAATTAAAATTTAGCAAGGTTGGCGCTATTTAAAAAATATAAATTAATTAAAATAACGGTAAAACACCCTGTATGTGTATTGCCCATAAATAGAGAATTCGAGTGAGAAATCCAACGAAAAATAAGTCGTGTTTTTCGGTTTAAAATAATAATAACCCAGTATAAAAAATAAAAAAATAATTTTTGAGTATTTTTTGAAAAAAATTAGAAACTTGGCAACGTCGCTAGATCGTTTGTCAACGATATAAAAAGTTGCAGTAGAAAAAATGCATCACAATATGTGTTTACAATTTTTTTTTAATTTAACAATTAAATAAAATATTCAAAAACGTGTTGATTACTTATTCTTATTAAAAAAATATAAGTTTAGTCTTATAATAATAAAACACACTGTATATTTAATAATTATGTTAAAAATGTGTACTTTTTTTTTGAGTAAATTCTCCAACTTGGCAACGTCACCCAAAGTCAAAAAACAAAACTTTAATTTACAGTTTTTATTAAAAATGTTGAAACATAAATTTAGCTCTAAAACAATGAAACGCTCTGTATAATTAAAAAAATTAAAACATGTAGAAATCAGTCAGTCAACGATGTTAAAATTGCAAAAATGAAACACCTTGTATACGATCATAAAAAATAATTTTAATAAAAGTAGTAGAAAA